ATCCCATCCCAAGGACTTCATCCTAAGGGATCATCCCAGGGATCCCATCTCAGGGATCTCATCCTGAGGATCCCATCATGAGGACCCCATTCTGAGGATCCCATCATGAGGATCCCATCATGAGGATCCCCTCCCCAGGATCCCCTCCCCAGAATCCCATCCCCAGGATCCCATCCCCAGGATCCCCTCCCCAGAATCCCATCCTGAGGATCCCATCCCCAGGATCCCATCCCCAGGATCCCCTCCCCAGAATCCCATCCTGAGGATCCCATCCCCAGGATCCCATCCCAGGGATCCCATCCGGCACCTGAAGAGGGAGATGAAGCCGTAGGCCTCCAGCAGCATGCCCAGGATCGGCCACCGCATGAGGACCACGATGAGCCCCCCGAAGAAGAAGCTGGTGCCCTTCAGCTTGGGCCGCTGGAAGAAGAAGGTGAAGGTCCTCCGGAAGCCGATGATGAAGACCAAGCCAGAGAGGAAGAGGAGCTGGGAGGAGGGAGGGGAGAGGGTCAGGGCTGCTCCTTGATCCCGCTGTGGGGAGCCCCAGGCCGGCCCTACTCACGTTCCCAAAAGCCAGGAGCACCGAGTCGAAGTACAGGAGGATCCCAAAGAGGAGGAAGAAGAGGCCGAAGCCGACCAGGCCCACTCCGATCCCTGTGGAAAATGGGCAGGCAGAGGCAAAGGCTCCACACCTGGGGTCCCAGCACCTCTCTGTCCCACTCCTTCCCAAAAATACCCTTTGGGCTTTTCCCAAAGCTCAGGACCAGCCTTTGTGCCCAGGCCAGGCCTGGAGGAGGCTGTTGATGCCCCAGAAACCCCTGAGGGCACCGGATAAATCAGGAACCACAAAGGAAAACTCCCCGGGAAATCCCTGCCCAGCCTTTCTCCGAGCCTTTCCCTCCAGGAAAAGCTGGAGACGATCCCTGGATGATCCTGGAGAATCTCCCCACCCCCAGCCCATCCCCTTTTCCACCTCACCCCTCCCTGTCCCAACCACCCCATCCAGGGGGATCCCGGCTGGGACTGGGATTTGCCAAAGGTCCCCACGGAGCTCCCGGATCCCGAATTCCAGCCGGGATGGGAATTCGCGCCGGGACACGACCACCCCGCTCCTGCTTACGCTGGAAGTCGCTCAGGGACACCATCTTGGTGGTGGCGGGGCTGGGCGAGGCTGGGCGAGGGTGGCCCCACTCGCAGAGTGACCCTTGGAAAAGCCCTTTAGTCCCCACGTCATCCTGGGAATCATTAACGGCCCGGGAACGCCCACGGTGCCACTGCCGCAGGACACGGTGGCTCCAGATGGGACACAGGGCTCCAGAAGGGACACGGTGGCTCCAGAAGGGACACGGTGGCTCCAGAAGGGACACAGGGGCTCCAGAAGGGTCATGGTGGCTCCAGGAGGGACATGGGGGCTCCAGAAGGGACATGGTGGCTCCAGGAGAGATGTGGTGGCTCCAGAAGGGACACAGTGGCTCCAGGGGTCATGGTAATTCCAGGGGGACATGGTGGCTCCAGGGGGGACACGGTGGCTCCAGGAGGGATGTGGTGGCTCCAGAAGGGACACAGTGGCTCCTACGGGGACATGGTGGCTCCAGAAGGGACACGGTGGCTCCAGGAGTCATGGTAATTCTGGGGGGACACAGTGGATCTAGAGAGAACACAGTGGCTTCAAGGGGACACGATGGCTCCAGAAGGGACATGATGGCCCCAAGGAAGATGTGGTGTCCCCGGGGGGATATGGTGGCTCCTACGGGGACACGGTGGCTCCAGAAGGGACACAGGGCTCCAGAAGGGTCATGGTGGCTCCAGGAGGGACATGGTGGCTCCAGAAGGGGCAAGGGGCTCCTGAGTGACACGGTATTTCCTAGAGGGACATGGTGGCTCCAGGGAGGACACAGTGGCTCCAGGGGGACATGGGGGCTCCAGAAGGGACACAGTGGCTCCAGGGGTCATGGTAATTCCAGGGGGACATGGTGGCTCCAGGGAGGACATGGTGGCTCCAGGGGGGACACAGTGGATCTAGAGAGAACACAGTGGCTCCAGAAGGGACACGATGGCCCCAAGGAAGATGTGGTGTCCCCGGGGGGACATGGTGGCTCCTGAGGGACACGGTGGCTCCTGAGGGACACGGTGGCTCCAGAAGGGACACAGGGGCTCCAGAAGGGTCATGGTGGCTCCAGGGGGACATTGTGGCTCCAGGGGTACTTGGTGGCATCCAGAAGGGACACAGTGGTTCCAAGGGGGATGTGTCTGGATGCCCAGACAGACATAGGAGCTCCTGAGGGACACAGTGACTCCAAAGGGACATGGTGGCTCCTGAGGGACTTGGTGGCCCCAGGTGGACATGGTGGCTTCAGAGAGGACAGGGTGGCCCCGCAGGGACATGGTGGCTCCAAGGCAGACACAGTGGCTTGTGGCCAGCAGACCTTGCTGGTCCCGTCCTCCCTGTCCCACTGGAATGGGTTCCCTGGGATGGGATGGGATGGATCCCTAAAATAGGAAAACCAGGGAGATTGTGGCTTCCTTGGGGTGGCTGAGTGGCACCGAGGGGACAGCAGAGGTCCCTGCAGTGTCCCCAGGAGTCGCAGCTCATTTGGATTCCCATGGATCTCATGGATCCCGTGGATCCCAGGCTGCTCCGTGAGAAAGGAGAGTTTTGGGAATCTCCCACCTCCCGGGATTTGCTGGTTGGGGTGGGAATATCGCCTCCCGCACACCCAGCACAGGGCCCCTGTGTCACCTCTGTCACCCAGAGCCACCCAAACCCAGCTACTCCCAACATTTATCCCAAAAACTGCCCAGGGACGGGAATTCCATCCCTCCACAAGCACCAAACCTAACCCTAGTGGGAACATAAATCCCAAAAAATCGGGGAGAGGGAGGAGCAGCTGCCCCTGGAGCCCCATCACCCTCTGCTTCCCCAACCCAGATTAAAATCCACATCCAAGCCCACCCCTGTCAAAAAAAGACAGGAAAATGTTGTTGTTTCATAGATATTTTTATTTCTCTACCGCTAGGAAAATATCCCAGAAAACCAAAGCCCTCCCGTCCCACCCTCTCCAAATGCATAAATAGATTTATTTATTTACTTCCTCCCGATGCAAATCCTTTCCGGGTTAACAAGTCACTGCTTTATGAAGTGTTTATGAAAAATAATAACCAAAATAAAATTAATTGATTAAGGTTTGGTTTCCTTTTTTTTATTATTGGGGTTTTTTTTTAAATAAAATAAAATCGCGGCCGGGTCACACCTTGGGGACAGCAGCTGGTGGCTTTGGGAAGGGCAGGATGGCTCCCGGAGATGGGAATTGCTGCCCCACAGCCACCCCAGGATGTCCCCAAAGTGTCCCCAAAGTAAAGATGGGAATTGCTGCCCCACAGCCACCCAGGATGTCCCCAAGGTGTCCCCAAAGTAAGGGGGGGGGGTCTGCCCAGTGACCCGAGAGGGGACACAGGGAAATAAACTCATCCTCTCTTCAAACTTACAGTCTCTGTATATTTTATTTTAAATAAATTTGCTTTTAATAAAAGCAGAAAAAATAGATATATATTTTTTAAATAGGTTTTTTTCCTTTTTTTTTCTTCTTCTTTTTTTGTTTTTTTTTTGTTTTTTTTTTTTTTTTTTTTTTTTTTTTTTTTTAATTTCCTTCCCCCTCTGCTAAATTGCCAAAGAATCTTTTTTTTTTTTTTGTTGGCAGGGCTGGCGCCAACAAATCCTGCGGAGAAGAGAGAGCTCGGCACGAGCTTTTTTCCCGGGAAAAGAAGAGGAAAACCAAATATAGATATATATTATAAATGTAGAATTTCCATCAAACATATATTAAGGCATGTAAATAGCAAAATAAAGGGCCAGCTTTATGAGCTAAAGGGGCTGAGGGAGGCTCAGAGGGCAGCGGGGTTCAGGGCTCCAGGGATCCTACAAGTATTGCTAAGTTGGGATTGGGATGCAGGGAGGTCCTGGGGGTTTGGGATGGGGCCAGGAGGGATGGATGGCATTTGGGGTTGGAGATTTGGGATTTGGGATCCAGCTCCTGGCCCCTGCCACGCTCGCATCCTTCCAGGGATTCTGCTTTTTTTTCCCATCCTCCGGGATGATAAAGAAAAGGGGGAATTTGCTACAGGAAATCCGAACCGCTGGAAGGGGCTGGAGAACAGCGGGAAGGGATTTTTTTGGAGGGCGACAGCAGGTCCCCAGGTGACACCTCTGTCCCCAAACCCCTCCTCAGCACCATCCCCACCCTCCAGAGGGGGTCCCTGCCCACCCCACAGCTGCGTTTTCCCACCTGGCGCCCCAATTCCCTGCTCTGCCCCATCCCTGCCCCGAGCTCCGTGCTTGGAGAGCCCTGGAGCGCCCTGGGCACCTCCGCGTGCCCCCAGTGCCACCTCCGTCCGTCCTGTCCCCTCTTCCTCCGGCTGGGCCACCGGTGGTGACACAGACAGGTTCCAAAATCAGGGTCAGAGCTCAGGGAGGGGAAACGGCACCCGAGGAGCCGAGGGGGAGGATCCGCGCCCGCTGGGAGGTGGCAGCACCATCCGTGGTGGGGACAGGCGGGTCCCCACCCCAAGAGCCCCCTCGCAGACCTTGGGGGCCGTCCCAGGAGTGCTGTGCTCGCCACTGGGCCGGTGGCCACTGTCACAGCTGTCCTGGTGGCCACTGTCACAGCTGAGAGTGCCCTGGTGGCCGCTGTCACAGCTATGTCCTGGTGGCCACTATCATGGCTGTCCTGGTGGCTGCTGTCACAGCTGTCTGAGTGTGGCCGCTGTCACAGCTGTGTCCTGGTGGCCACTATCGTGGCTGTCCGGGTGTGCCCCAGTGGCCACTGTCACGGCTGTCCCGGTGGCCACTGTCACAACTGTCCAGGTGTGTCCTGGTGGCCGCTGTCACGGCTGTCCGGGGCTGTCCCGGTGGCCGCAGACAGCCCTGGGGGCTCCTTGGGGACAATCCCAGCCCCCGCCCGCCTCTTTGGGACGGGGCTCCCGTCGGTGCCGCCTCTCCCGCTGGTGTCGCCGCCGGAGGGAGGGAAGGGGGTCCGGGAGAACCGAGGACGGTGGCGAGAGGTTCGGTGTCACCTCAGGAGGGGACTAAAACGTGGCCCCGTGGAACTTGATGGCGCCGGCAGCAGCCAGGGCTTGAGCTGGGGGGGTGGGACAGGACAGAGGGGCTGAGCCGGGGGGCTCCACCCCGCGCCCACCCCCCTTTGGGAAACGCGGCAGGGATTTGGCTCCGAGGAGCCGGGGGAGGTTGGGACCCCCCGGTTTTCATGCTGGGCCCCCCCCTTTTCCCCCCTGCACCGCCCCTCGGCCTTGGGGGTCGGCTTTGGGGGGACACTCGGTCCATGGAGGAGCCGGGGCTGACGTGGCAGCGAGGGGATTGGAGGGGATGACGTCAGAGAGAAGAGGTGCTTACGTCACAGGCTCACACCCGCATGAGGTGGCTGCTGTCGGCCCGGGGCGGCTCGGACGAGAGGGGGTTGGTCGGTGGAGTCGGGGAGGCTGGGGAGGTGGGAGGGCTGGGGGTAGCGCACTGAGCTGGAAACGAGAAACGGGACAGGGGCTGAGCACGAGGGACAGGGAGGGGACAGCGCGGAGGGGACAGAGCGAAGGGGACAGAGCAGAGGGCAGGAGCAGGGAGGAAAGAGAAAGGAAAAGGGGGAAGCAAGCGCGGGTAGACAGCGGCTCCCGGGACCGCGAGGGGACAGGAGGGGACATGGAGGCAACCGGGGATCCGAATCCCGGTCCTGGGAGCACAGAGACAGTGGGGGGGTGGGACAGGACAGAGGGGCTGAGCCGGGGGGCTCCACCCCGCGCCCACCCCCCTTTGGGAAACGCGGCAGGGATTTGGCTCCGAGGAGCCGGGGGAGGTTGGGACCCCCCCGGTTTTCATGCTGGGCCCCCCCCTTTTCCCCCCTGCACCGCCCCTCGGCCTTGGGGGTCGGCTTTGGGGGGACACTCGGTCCATGGAGGAGCCGGGGCTGACGTGGCAGCGAGGGGATGGAGGGGATGACGTCAGAGAGAAGAGGTGCTTACGTCACAGGCTCACACCCGCATGAGGTGGCTGCTGTCGGCCCGGGGCGGCTCGGACGAGAGGGGGTTGGTCGGTGGAGTCGGGGAGGCTGGGGAGGTGGGAGGGCTGGGGGTAGCGCACTGAGCTGGAAACGAGAAACGGGACAGGGGCTGAGCACAAGGGACAGGGAGGGGACAGCGGGGAGGGGTCAGAGCAGAGGGGACAGCGGGGAGGGCAGGAGCAGGGAGGAAAGAGAAAGGAAAAGGGGGAAGCAAGCGCGGGTTGGGCAGAATCACAGCTGGCACGGCAGAGCCACAGATGGCAGAGCAGAGAGCCATGGCTGGCAGGACAAACAGCCGCAGCTGGGCAGGACAGAGTCACAGCTGGCAGGACAAACAGCCGCAGCTGGGCAGGACAGAGTCACAGCTGGCAGGACAAGCAGCCACAGCTGGCAGGAAGGACAGAGAGTGACAGCTGGGCACAGCACGCACACGTGAGCTCCCGGCAGGGCTCCTCATGGACAAGGCATGGTGTGACATTGTGAGCACCCAGGCACGGTGTGGCACCGTGGGCACCCGTGGTCAGCCACGTACAGGATGTCACCATGCTCACCTGGGCACAGCGTGCCACCACAATCTCCCCCCCCAGCATGAAGCGCCACCATGCACAGCCACAAGGTGCCAGCCCGTGCCACCTCAATCCCTCTAGCACAGGGTGACACCACAGTTCCCTGGGCTTGGGGTGACACCACAACCTCCCTGCGTGGAGTGCCACCCTGCTTTCTCAGCCATCTCATGCCACCTCATGCCACTTCATGCCACCCAGGCAGGCACTCCCCTCCTCGTGCTGAAGCTGTGCCCGGCTGGAACGGCTGCTCCAGCCCAGGATCTCGGGGCGAGCAGCCCCAGGAGCTGTTGGCATCCCCTGTCCCCCTGTCCCAAGGCTGACCCCTCTTCTGCCCACTCTGCTACCAAATCCACACCTGCCCTCACCCCCCTGCCCTCCTGGCACCTCGCTGTGCCAGGGATCTGCAGGGTCTGACCCTCCAAGCCCCCGTTCCTCACCCGAGAGCATCCGGCCGCGCCGCGAGGCCTCGGCAGCCAGGGCACAGGAGATCTCGATCCTCTTCTCCTGCTCCTGCAGCTGCACCTCAGGGTCCTGGGGGGTGTCCACCTCCCCCTCGCCCAGGGGGATGACGTTCTGCAGGCTGGGAACGGCACCTGGGGTCAGCACCCCTGCCAGGACCCCCGGGATGGGATGGGAGAGGGGTGGTAGGGTCCACTGGGATGGGTGGGGAAGGGGGGCAGGTGGGTGGGTGGTCTTGGAATGGCCAGGGAAGGGATGGAAGTGGGTGGTCAGTGCCTCTCAAGGTGCCCAGGGAAGGGGTACAGGTGGGTGGGTGGTCTTGGAATGGCCAGGGAAGGGATGGAGATGGGTGGTCAGTTCTGCTCAGGGAAGGGATGGAAGTGGGTGGTCAGTGCCCCTCAGGGTGTCCAGGAAAGGGGTGCAGGTTGCAGGTGGGTGGTCAGTGCCCCTCAGGATGACCCCTGGCACAGCCAGCGTGGGCACTGCAGCCTCACCTGGACTTGGCAATGAGAGTCTTGATCCTTTCCACCTTCTTCTGCTTCTCCTTCATCTCCTCGGGGCTGAGGGGCGACTCCGGCTCCAGCTCCACGTAGCGCTCGGGGATCAGGACTTTGTCCGGAGTGGACAGCTGGGGACAGTGGCACGAGCTGAGGGGGTGCCCGTGCCGGACACTGGGGACTCCAGCCCCCACTGCTCACCCCCAACCCAGCCCGGACACGGCTCCAGGCTGCTGCCACCCTGGGGACACTCGGGGACACGGCGTGCTCACCTCCTTGTTGATGTCCACGTCGTAGTGCTGCGGCTCCAGCTCCATCTTGCGCAGCCGGGCGATCTCCTCCTGCGGCGTCTCGTACACCTTGCCGGGCTCGTCGGAGCGCAGCGCGGCCTCCAGGTCCGAGATGTCCACCTCGTGGATGCTGCGGTGTCGCCGCACCTGCGGGGGACCGCGTCCCGCTCAGCGTCCCCCACGGGGTGGCGCTTTGTCGCCTGTGCCACCCCGCGGTGTCCCCGCCGGGCTCAGGGACTCACCACCTTGTAGGAGGAGGGGGTTTTGGTGCCGGGGGGGTCGGGCTGGGGGCCGGGGAGCTGCAGGCTGCGCCGCTTCTCCTTCATGGAGCCGCTCTGGTGGCGCTTCATGCGGTCGATCTGCTCCTCCACGCTCATCTTCACCTTGGTCTCGGTGGCGAACACGGCGCTCTTGGGTCTCTCCTGGGGACCAGTCCAGCCTCACGGTCACCCGCTGGTGGCCGGTGACATCCTCCCAGTGCCACCCCCCTCTGCCGTGAGCCGCTGGGATGCCTGTGACTCCCGGGATGCCACTCTGAGGATGTCACTCCCGGGATGTCACTCCCTGTGCCTGCTGCTCTATGTGAAGAGAGCTGCGGCCACAACTCCCAGTTTGTCACTCTGGGATGTCACCCCCGGGGATGTCACTCCTGGAATGTCGCTCCCCGGGATGTCATTCCCGGGGTGCCACTCCCAGCAGCAGGGAAGGTGCTGAATTCACCCTGGGGGTCTCCAGGACGTGCATGGTGACACATGGAGCCACGCTCCTGTCCCCAGGCTGCAGCAGAGCCCCCTGGGCTCACCGAGCCCCCCCAGCCGAGCCCCCCAGCCCAGCCGTACCCGGGAGCCGAGCCCGTTGGCCAGCCCGTTCCTCCTGGGCACCGCCTCCTCCTCCGCCGGAGATTTGGTCCTGGGGGGGACGATTCCCACTGCGGGGACACCACGACAGCGGGATGAGCCCTCGGGGACCCGGGGCAGGGTCCCGGTGCCACCCCCGGGTGCTGGCGGGTGTCCCCAGTGCCGTACCCTTGTTGAGAGCCGCTTGTTTGTCGCCGTCGTGCTCCGGCCGGCTCTGCGGGAGCCCCTCGGGCGCGGGGCCGGGGGGGCTGGGCCGGGGCGGCTCCTTCTTGCTGGGCTCCAAGGCTGGTTTGGGCTGTGCAGGGGGGAAAGGTCCCCAGTGAGCCCCGGTCCGGCCTGGGGACACGCTCTGCCTGGGGACACCCGCTGCACGTGGGGTGACAGGCAGGGGACACAGGGGACACTGCTGCTCTGGGGGTGACAGATCCCCTGTGTGTCAGGGGACACCCGCTGCTCTTGGGGTGACAGATCAGGACACACAGACCAGAGGACACCTGCTGCTCCTGGGGTGACAAGCAAGGGACACGCAGGGGACACCCGCTGTTCTTGGGGTGACAGACAAGGGACACCTGCTGCTCGTGGGGGACAGATCAGGGACACACAGGGACACCCACTGCTCGTGGGGTGACAGGCAAGGGACACACAGACAGGGGATACCCTCTGCTCTTGGGGTGACAAACAGACCAGGGACACACGGACAGGGGACACCCGCTGCTCTGAGGGGGACAGACCGACCATGGTCACACTCCATGGACACACGGACAGTGGCCAGGTGGGACCAGAGCCCCCCGAAATTGTGGGGAGAGGGGCTGAGTGGGCTCTGCTCCTGCCCCTGCTCTGTCCCATCCTGTCAGGGCTGGGCACCCTCCGCTGTCCCCACAATGAGGGACAGGGTGACAATCCCTCCACAGCCTCCAGGAGCTGGGGACAGGGACATAGGGACATCCTGGCTCAGTGCTGGGCTCCCGCTGCACCCCGTGCCCATGGGGTCACACAGGGCAGCAGAGCCAGCAAAGGGACAGTTTTGGGGTCCTCCCCCTCTTGCATCCCACGAGAACTGCTGGGGTGACAGAGGGGTGTGACAACAGGCCAGCAGCCCGGTGTGTCCCCCTAAATTCACCCTGACACCCCTGGATGGCACAGCCACCTCTGTGCCACCTGCGCTGGCACGGTGCCCCTCCACAGGGCGACACGGAAGGACAGCGACAGAGGCAGAGCAAAGCAGAGGGGACAACCGGGGACAACCTCGCCAGGAGGAGGACGAGGAGGAGGAGGAGGGGACAATCCCTGTCCTGACCGTGGCGACCTGCTGGGGACACCAGGGGTGTGGCAGGGCAGGATGCAGAGCTGTCCCTGCACCAAGTGCCACCTCCACGCTGTCCCCGCACCAGGTGCCACCTCCACGCTGTCCCTGCGGATCCGGGGAAGGCAGCTCCGGCTCCTGCCTCATCCCAGTGCCTTTCATGCCACGAGGAGGAGGAGGAGGGGACAATCCCTGTCCTGACCGTGGCGACCTGCTGGGGACACCAGGGGTGTGGCAGGGCAGGACACAGCGCTGTCCCCACGCCAGGTGCCACCTCCACGCTGTCCCTGCGGATCCGGGGCGGGCAGCTCCGGCTCCTGCCTCATCCCAGCGCCTTCCATGCCACGAGGAGGAGGAGGAGGAGGAAGGGGAGGCAGGGGTCGGTACCTGTCCCCGCTTGGCCTCTCCTTGGTGCCAGGAAGGGGAGGCGGGGTAGGGCCAGAGGCGGCTCTCGCTGGGGAGCGGAGGAACGGCCGGAGGAGCCTCCAGGGGCACGTAGGACTTGGGGAGGGGAGGTCGAGGCGGGCCCGGTTCCTGGGGCGGGCAGGAGCGGGAGGCGTGAGAGCAGAGAAGGAAGAGAGAGTTAGAAAAAAGAGAGACAGAAACACGGCGGGAGCGTCCTGGAGGAAGGGATGGAGGAGAGGGAGTGACTCTCGGGGTGCCACATCCTGCTGCTTGTCCCCAGCGCCAGGCAGGGCTCGGGGCTGTGTGAGTGAAGGGTTCTTGGCAGCTCTGGGGGCACTGGTGTCGCCCCTGTGCAGCCAGGAGGGGTGGGGAGTCCCCAAATTGTGTCCTAAATTAATGTGCTGTGTGTCAAGGTGGCACCAGCCCGGGGTGAGGGCACTCAGAGCGGCTGTGGTGGCACCAGGAGCTGCTCCTGGAGCTGAGCAACTCCTGTCCCTCCAGACACACAGCCCTGCAAGGACCACGCACCCCAAAGTCACCAGGGGCCATCTGTGCCACCAGAACAGTGCCCCCAGGCAGAGCCATGAGGGCAGGCAGCTCCGTGCCCATACCCAGCAGCCTGCCACCCCCCTGGTGACAAAGAGGGGACAGCAGGGTCACTGACCTCGCCAGGGCCGGGCTTGGTGGGCGATCCCTGGGAGCCGGAGATGAGGGAGAAGGGGCTCAGGGGGCTGGTGAGGCTGGCAGAGCTCAGGGGGCTGGCAGGGCTGTTGGAGCTGTACGTGCCCGAGGGGCCCAGGGCCACTGCGGAGGAACGAGGTAATTAAAGATTATTAAAGATAATAATGAGGGGTTTCACCCTGCCAAGCAGGGACACCCCCCGCAGGGACAGCCCCCCTCACCTCTGTGCTTGGCCGTGTCGGTGCCTCGGGAGGGGTTGTTCTTCCTCAGCCCTTCCATCACGTCCTGGATCCGCCAGATCTCCCTCTGGATCTGCCGGTTCAGCATCTCGTTCTGGACGGGGGACAGGCAACACTCAGAGAGGTCCCGAGGGCATCGGTGCCAACCCCAAACCAGGCAGGGCCCAGCCCCAAACCCAGCCACAGGAGCTGACCCTGGCCACATCCAGGGTTTGTTTTATCCAGCTGGAATTCCTGGATCTGCTCCCCAGAAGCCACCGGGGCTGTGGGGACCCTGCGCTGCCCCCTCAATGGCACCCAGGTGGGCAAAGCTGGACGTGAGGGCTGGGCATGGAGAGCCCACGGGTGGGGGGACAGGGGGATCTCATCTCCGTGGGGACACCAGGGGTGGCAGGGGACGTGGGTGTAAAGGTTAAAGGTGGCAGGGGACACACACACCTGGATGTCCAGGTTAAAGGTGACAGGGGGACACACACCTGGATGTCCAGGTTCAGGGTGACAGGGACACACACACCTGGATGTCCAGGTTCAGGGTGACAGGGACACACACACCTGGATGTCCAGGTTTAGGATGACAGAGGACACTCTCACCTGGTTCCAGGGGTGGCAGGGGGCACTCTGACCTGGATGTCCAGGTTCAGGGTGACAGGGGACACTCACACACCTGGATGTCCAGGTTGAGCTGCTCCCAGAGGTCATCGTGCAGGGTGGACACCTCGCTCTCCAGGCTCTCATACTCGGCCGTGCTGTTTGCCAGGGCCTGAGGGGACAGTGGGGGGATCAGGGGGGTCTCTGGCACCCAGCACAGCCCCCCGAGCTGGGGAGGGGGTGGCAGCAGAGGGGACAAGCTCTGAGGTGCCCGGGGCATGGCAGAGACAGAACCAGGAGCTGAGGTGGCAGCCGGGGGGTGCCTAATTCGCTTTGTCCCCAGTGAGGGACTTCGGTCCCCAGGCAGCCAAGGGGAATTCCCTGCTCGTTTCCCAGCCAGGAAGGGACAAAAGGGACAAAAGGGACCCGAATCCCTCCCTTACCGTGCTGGCCTGGGACAGCTCCACCCGGATGTTGATGAGCTGGTTCTGCAGCGATTCCTTCTTGTGCAGCAGCTTCTCGGGGTAGGCGGGCTGGCTCCCGAACATCTCCAGCTCCTGGTGTGTCCCCATCAGGGCGCTCTCCAGGCTCTCCTGTGGGCACAGACGGAGCCACGAGGTCCTGGCTGCTCAATAGCACAGCAGGAGTCACCCCCAGCTCAGAAATGTCCCCAAGCTGTGGCTGCCACATCCCTGGAAGGGTCCAAAGCCAGGTCAGAGAACCTGGAATAGCAGCTCAGGGGTGGAAGGAGAGGTTTGTAATGTCCCTCCAAGCCAGGGGTGACAGGGGACCTGCTCACCTAGTTCAGGGGTGGCAGGGGACACTCTGACCTGGTTCAGGGGTGGACGGGGACACACACACCTGGATGTCCAGGTTTAGGATGACAGAGGACACTCTCACCTGGTTCCAGGGGTGGCAGGGGGCAGTCTGACCTGGATGTCCAGGTTCACGGTGACAGGGACACCCCCACCTGGATGTCCAGGTTCAGGGTGACAGGGACACACACACCTGGATGTCCAGGTTTAGGATGACAGAGGACACTCTCACCTGGTTCCAGGGGTGGCAGGGGGCACTCTGACCTGGATGTCCAGGTTCAGGGTGACAGGGACACACACACCTGGATGTCCAGGTTCTGGGTGACAGGGACACACACACCTGGATGTCCAGGTTCAACCCAAACCCTCCCATGGTGATGTCACTTCCTCACCACGCAGGTGCCACCACCAGGTCCCCACGTGGCCACCTGAGGTGCCACCAGGTACCTTCTCAGCCCGGAGCTGCTGCACCAGCCTCTCCTGCTCCCGCAGCACCTTGTTCTGCTCGCAGAGCTTCCCCAGCAGCTTCTGTGCCAGGGGGAAGAGAAAGCGGGGAGAGGATGAGGAGGATGAGAATCCCACTCGGATGCAGCCAGGACTGATGGGATTTACGGGATTTATGGGATTTACGGCCTTGGGGGGTTCCAAACTCCTGCTGTCATTGCAGGGACTTTGAGGTGACACGGGACAAACTGGGAGACAGGGCAAGACGGAAACTCAGGGAAGATTCACCCCTGAGGGGCACAAAGTGACCGGCTGCGGGGACAGGGGACACACAGAGGGGACAGGACTGGCTCTTACATCGGTGTCCTGCTCGCTGATCTTGTAGGGGTGCAGGGTGTCCCTGTAGGGCTCCGGGAACGGCGTCACCTGCAAGAGGAGCGCGGGGTGAGCGCGGCTCTCCGCGGTTCGCCCAGGGAAGGGGAGGCAGCCCCCAGCCCCCTCTGCCCTCCCTGCGAGCCGGGAAAAAGGAGCGATGGATGCTCGGGAGTCGCTGGGATGAAGCCACGACCTCTCCCTGCCCATTCCCAGCGGGAAGGGTGCGGGGAAAAGCTCCAGAGAGCCTCGTGAATCATTAACCGCCACCATTCCAGCGGCGAGGAAAACAAAGGGAGAGCGATTGAGCTGTAATTCCACCTCGGCGGAGTGGGAGCACCGAGAAAGCAGCAGCAGGGCCTGTTTACCCCCGCACGGCTCCTCCGTGAGTCATTTTCCTTTCCTGGAAATCTCAATTACTAATGGGACCTTCGGCAATTAACTGCCTCGCGGAGCCGGAGATGAAAGGCAGCAGATAGGCAGGAGGGGATGGTTGTTGCTAGAAAGCAGAGAGGGCGCTTTGGAGCCATGGAAAACTCCGGGGTGATGCAAATGGATCCGGATCTGGGAAATGCCCGCGGGGCCGGAGGCAGAGCCGGGCGGATGGGGACGAGGCGCCTCCGGGCAGGGAGCCCGGCCAGCCGCAGGAGCATCCCGGCAGCTCCTGATCCACCCTCCAGCACATCCCAGCCGGCAGCAGATGCAAACAGGAGCCGTTTTTGTTGGAAAATCCCATCCAGGAAGTGCCCAGGGCAGCACAACCTGGGGTGGGTGGCACCGGGGGGGCTCAAGCCATGTGACATTGCGGGGATGTCCCAGTGCTGGGGACAGAAGGAGCCTCCGGGGAGCGGGAAAGGCCGTTCCCTGTCCCTGATTCAGGAATTATTCCGCTGGTTTAAGAGCTGCACTCCTGCCACCCCACAACTTCTCCTTGAGAAACAAGGACGAGCGTGGCCGGGGGTCCCGGGGCAGTTCTGTCCCCAAGAGTCCCCGGAGCTGGCTCTATCCCCAAGAATTCCCGAGACAAATCCGAGAGTCCCCGGGACAGCTCTGTCCCCAAGAATCCCTGAGACAGATCCTGCACTCCTGCCACCCCACAACTTCTCCTTGAGAAACAAGGACGAGCCAAGCCCTGCGTGGCCGGGGGTCCCGGGGCAGTTCTGTCCCCAAGAATCCCCGAGACAGATCTGAGAGTCCCCAGGGCTGGCTCTGTCCCCAAGGGTCCCCAGGGGTGGCTCCGTCCCCGAGAGTCCGAGGGACAGCTCCGTCCCCAAGACTTCCCGGGGCATCCTCCGTCTGAGAGTCCCCGTCCCCAAGACTTCCCGGGGCATCCTCCCTCCGTCTGAGAGTCCCTGGGGGCATCTCTGTGCCCAAAAGTCCCCAGGACAGCTGTGTCCCCGCGAGTCCCCGAGGGCAGCTCCGTCCGAGAGTCCCTGGGACAGCTCTGAGAGTCCCCAGGGGTAGCTTTGTCCCCAGGGGTCCCCGGGGGCAGCTCCGTGCCCACCTCGCGCTGCCAGCACGAGGATTTGCCGGCTTGGAATGGCTCATGGATGGATTAGCAAAGCCTGGGATGGAGCAGCGCCTCCCCCGAGAGCGGGATGTGCCGCTGGGCGAGTGGCGATGGCAGCAGGTGACCCCGGGTGGCAGCAGGTGACCCCGGGTGGCGCGGGGGTGGCCTGGCACGGCCGCCAGGCACGAGCCATGCGGGGCCTGGTGGCCGGAGCCTTACTTGCATGTAGAGCTGGGCCCTAGGGGAGGAGGTCTCCACCATCCTGTTCACCATAGTGATGAGGGTCTCGCTCTCGCTCATCTGCGGCACACAGGGAAGGAAAGGGCACAGGTCAGCGGGGACACGCGCCTGTGCCAGCGGTGACCCGTCCAGGAGCCCTCAGGACGCAAAGTGCCACCTCCTGAGATGGCCCAGGGGCTCCGGGTGTGGCCTGGCGCTGCTGTTGCTCCTTTTAGTGCGCTTTTTTGGGGAAAACACGGGTAAAACAGAGCCAGATGGCACAGACGGACACGAGCTCGGACAGGGACGGCAGCGGCGTGGCCTGGCACACAGACGGACACACGGACAGGCCCTGGCACTGCCCCGTGGCTCAGTGCCCAGCCGGGGCTGGCACAGCCCTGCAAATGAACGCTGGGTGCTGGGGAGGTGACTGACACTGGGGTTGGGGACAGCAGCGTCCCCTTTCCCAGGTGGCACCGGGAATGCCACATCCCTGCTGCAGGGCACAGTCTGTGCCACTCCATGGGGACAGGACTGTCCCCAAGCAGCCAGTGGTGGCTGAGCTCCCTGGGTGCCGGGTGACAAAGCCACTCAAGTCACCAGCACTGCAGCTTCACCCAGCTCATGCAGAGCCCCCAGCCCTGAGCAGGACACTCCAGGGAAGCCCTGGGACAGCAAGGTGACAACACTTTGTCACCAAAGCGGGGCCCAAACCCTGCTGGGGCTGCAGCGGGCGAGGGAGGGGAGAGCGAACAGAGCAGGAGGATGTTTGAAAAGAGGCCCCTGACAGCGTCACTCCGAATTAACCTTTCCAGAGGCCGCTGCGAGAGGAGGAGGAGGAGGAGGAGATGCCAAACCTTTTTAGGCAGCGTTTTAAAGAGCCGCGGAGAGGCTGCGGTGCTGCCGGCGGCTGCGAGAGAGCGCGGGGAGCTTTTATTGCAGCGGGAGCTCCTGGCCCCGCTCCAAGGCGGACACAGATCCCGGCCACGGGAGGTTTGCAGCCAAACGGGATCGTGCAGGGAGCAGCTCCCTCCGTGCCAGCCTGGCTGCAGCTCCTGTGCCCGGCTGAGGCTCCGGACGCTGCCTGGATGCGTCACTCCCGGCCGGATCCCCCTCCCCACGCTCCTGGGATGGAGTCAGCGCAGATTTCCTTCAAAAGTTGCTGGCAGAATCAGGGTTTTCCTCCAAAAGCACCACACAAAAGCATGGGTTTCCTTCCAGGGTTTTCCTTCAAAAAAACCCTGGTAAAATTGGGGTTTTCCTGCAAAAACGCTGCCAGTATTAAGGTTTCCTCCAAAAACCACTGGCAAAATTAAGGTTTTCCTCCGAAAATCCTGTCAAAATTAAGGATTCCTCCAAAAACTACTGGCAAATCCAGGATTTTCCTCCAAAACTCCTGGCAAGGAGTTTCCTCCAAGGTTTTCCTCCAAAAAACACTGGCAAAATCAAGATTTTCCTCAAAAAACCCCATTCAAAATCAAGGTTTTCCTCCAAAAACTCCATTCAAAACCAAGGTTTTCCTCCAAAACCCTGGCAAAACCAAGATTTTTCTTGATAAACCCCATTCAAAATCAAGGTTTTCCTCCAAAATCCTGGCAAAACCAAGATATTCCTCAATAAACCCCATTCAAAATCAAGGTTTTCCTCCAAAAACTCCATTCAAAACCAAGGTTTTCCTCCAAAAACTCCATTCAAAACCAAGGTTTTCCTCCAAAAACTCCATTCAAAACCAAGGTTTTCCTCCAAAAAACACTGGCAAAATCAAGCTTTTCCTCAAAAAACCCCATTCAAAATCAAGGTTTTCCTCCAAAATCTCCATTCAAAATCAAGGTTTTCCTCCAAAACCCTGGCAAAACCAAGATTTTCCTTGATAAACCCCATTTGAAATCAAGGTTTTCCTCCAAAAACTCCTTTCAAAATCAAGGTTTTCCTCCAAAACCCTGGCAAAACCAAGATTTTCCTTGATAATCCCTATTTGAAATCAAGGTTTTCCTCCAAAAACTCCATTCAAAACCAAGGTTTTCCTCCAAAACCATTGACAAAACCAACAAAATTAAGGATTCCTCCAAAAACTACTGGCAAATCCAGGATTTTCCTCCAAAACTCCTGGCAAGGAGTTTCCTCCAAGGTTTTCCTCCAAAAAACACTGGCAAAATCAAGATTTTCCTCAAAAAACCCCATTCAAAATCAAGGTTTTCCTCCAAAAACTCCATTCAAAACCAAGGTTTTCCTCCGAAACCACTGGCAAAACCAGGATTTTCCTCCAGAAACCTCTCCAGAACCACCTGAGCTCTGCTGGCTTTTCGGCTTTTGGTGCCCACCATCACCAAACCTTTCACCCCTGAGGGGCCACCACATCACCACGGCCACGGTCCCCACAGGTCACCTGCCACCCCTGGCACGGGGGACACCCTGGGCAAAGGGTGCCAGCCTTGGGGACAGCACGGCCACGCTGGCACCGCGCAGGTGCCCAGCACCACACTGGGGGTTTCCAGAGCTGCTGCACCCGCTGAGCTCCAGGACAACCCCCAGAAATGCTGGAACATACCCAAAAACCCCCAAAAATCCACACAGAGGCACTGCCAGAGGTTGGGGGGTGACTTTTCTGCCGAGCAATGAGCGGCCCTACGGATGCAGAGGATGGAAGAAGCCAAAGCAGAAATTAAAAAAAAAAAAAAGACAACTGGTGCTGCTGGGATGCTGCTGGGATGCCAGGAGGGGTGAGGATGGATGGCAGGAGGGGACAGGGACACGGGGCACGCGGCAGGGGACGAGAAGCAGCTGGTGAGGTGAGGCTGGCAGCCAGCTCCGCCTACCTGCTGGTCCAAATATTCTAGGTTTCTTTGCAACTGAAGGTCTAAAAGTTCATCCTACCAGGAGCCAGCAGGCAAGAAACGAGCAGCAAAACACATAAAAGAAGAAGCAAAGCAGTTAGGGGGGAGCCTGTGGAATGGCCCCTGGGCCGGGAATGCTGCTGGGAATGCTGCTGGGAATGGGAATGTGTCCCGTGGAACCTTGGGCAGCTGATTTCTCATTTATCTTTTTACTTCTAGGGAGACCCTGCCTCCGGCTGCCGGGATGGATGGGCGGCATGGGTGGGCTGTGGTGAAATTCAGGCTTCTCCCTCCTCTGGCGGTCCCGTCCCAGGGATTTGGGATCTGCGGGGACCTCCTGGTGTCACCCCCCAGCTCCGGGAGGGGACACGAGGCAGGAGAACAAAGCAGCTGTGGCCAGATGTGAGGAAGCAGAGCGGGATTTGGGGAGGGCTGGACTCAGTCAGGGACCACCCTGGGGGTCCGAGGGTGTCCCACTGCTACAGAGGGGCCTTCCCACGTGGATTCCTTCGGGAATGGCCAGGAGGGAGCGGAGACACCAACGAAAGGCCCAGCTCTGCCCCTGGAGCGCACTGGTTCCTCCTTGGCCACCTGAGTGAGGACCCCCCAGACTGCCCCACGTCCCCGGGGTGGGGTCTGTGCCCCCCGCCACAGGGTCACCCCCAGGGGACAGCAGGTACGTACCATTTTGTCGTGGATGGTGGGGGACGCCGGGAAGGGGTACGGGTACACCCCGGCCGGGACGGGCCGCCGGTCACCCAGGTAATCGTACTGTGGAGAGAGGGGACCCCACCCCAAAATCAGAGACACGGGACAGGAGGAGAAAGCACAGGAGAGGGAAGGGGCATCAGCGTTTCCTGCTTGGGAGCACATCTTGGGCTCCCAAAAGTTTTCCTTCAAAAACTACTGGCAAATCCAGGATTTTCCTTCAAAACCCCCTCGCAAAATCAGGTTTTCCTCCAAAAGCCATGGGCAAAATCTTGGTTTTCCTCTAAATACTCCACATCATTTCCTCTAAAAACATCACATCCCATGGTTCCCATCCCATGGTTCCCATCCCATGCATCCCATCCCACAGATCCCATCCCATCCCATGTATCCCATCCCATGGATCCCATTCCATCCCATGGATCCCATCCAATGGATCCCATTCCATCCCATGGATCCCATCCCATGGATCCCATCCCATCCCATGGATCCCATCCCATGGATCCCATCCAATGGATCCCATTCCATCCCATGGATCCCATCCCATGGATCCCATCACATCCTATGGATCCCATCCCATCCCACGGTTCCCATGCCGTGGATCCCGTCCCATCCAACAAACACAACCAGGGAACCTTTGCAGGACAGCAACAAGGCTCCCAATCCCCCCTGTGCCGCAGGCCACGGCGTCACTTTGCGGCCAGGCCGCGCACACAGAGGGGACACGGCCGGGACACTGCCACACCCCTGCCCCACCTCCCCGCCCCGCAGGTGCCCACCTTGGGCGAGCTGATGGATCTGCGCATCACGAAGGTGGCGGGGTCGGCGTAAATCTCGTCCCCGCGGGGCGGCAGCCGCTCGAAGCGGGCGCTGGGCGAGCGCACGGGCGAGTAAACCCTGGCGCGGCCGTAGGAGCCCTGGCTGGGCGAGCGCGGCACCGAGCGCGAGCGCGGCTGCAGCGACATCCTCCGCAGCGAGCCCGAGGCCGCGTCCACCTCGTCCAGGTAGCTCGGCGGCCTGGCGGGCGCCGGCAGCCACAGTGGGACGTCCTGGCGGCCGAAGGCGGGGTGGAAGGGACCCCCGTTGCGGAAGGAGTGGCGTTTGTCCTCCAGCGCCCACGGCGGGCTGACGCGGTCGAAGGCGGGCATGGAGCAGATGCTGTCGGGGCGCACGCCCGGCGGGTAGTACTGGTACTCCTCAGGGTACTGCGGCGAGTAGGGCGAGTAATAATCGGGCACCCGGCGGGATACGGGGTAAAACCTGCTGGGGCTGGAGAGGGGGAGAGGGAGGTGAGAGCCGGGCTGGCAGTGGGCAAGGACAGCCCGAGAGGAGGTGGCTTGGACAGTGGGAAAGCTGGATGGGTGGAATTCCTCCTGCCAGGGGTTCCATGGGATCTTCCCCTCATGGAATTCCTCCTGCCAGGGGTTCTGTGCTTGTGGAGTTCCTCCTGCCAGGGGTTCTGTGCTTGTGGAGTTCCTCCTGCCAGGGGCTCTGAGGGAGCTTGCCCTCGTGGAATTCCTCCTCTCTAGGGTCTCCTGGTGGTCTCCTCTCCTTGTTGCCCTCCTGCAGGGACACTGAGGTGGCTTCCTGTCCTGGTGTCCTGCCTCCCAGGGACTCCATGGGAGCTTCCCCTCATGGAATTCCTCCCTGGGATCTCGTGGTGGCCTCCTCTCCTCATCTCCCTTCTGCAGGGACACCAAGGAGGCTTCCTGTCCTGGCATTGCTCCTCCTAGGGACCCTGTGGTGGCCTCCTCTCCTGGCATCTCTCATCCTAGGGATGCCACAGGAGCTTCCCCTCATGGAATTCCTCCTCTCTGGGGTCTCATGGTGCCCTCCTCTCCTCATATCCCTCCTGCAGGGACACTGAAGTGGTTTTCTGTCCTGGCATCCCTCATCCCAGAGATCTCCTGGTGGCTTCCTGACCTTGTATCCCTCCTCTAAAGGATCCTGTGGTGGCTTCCCCATCCTGGCCTCCCTCCTCTCAGGGATGCCCCTCTACAACCCATCCCTTTTTGGGATGTCCCACACCCAGCTCTGAGCTGTCACAAGACAAAGAAAAAATGAGAGAAAAACGAGATTTCTGACCCCCAGGAGGCCACAAAGCAGACAAGACGGGGCAGAACATTCCCAGAGGGACCAACCCCGGAGCAAAGGAACATCCCGGCGCCCCCTCACCTGCGCAGCTCCTCGGGGGCCGCGGTGGCGCGGCGCGAGTTCACCCACTGCTGCAGCTGCGTCATGGAGCTCTTGCGCTGGGCCACCTTCTCGGGGTGGGACCTGGGGGTGACGCCCCGGCGCTGGGCCCCGCTCTCGCTGTCACCCGCCGGGGGGAAGGCGGTGCTGCCGGGCCGGCTGGGCGAGGGGTACGGCCACCCGTTGGGCTGTGCCGGCCGCTCGGCGCTCGCCGGCGCCCGCGGCCCCTCGGGGTAGGGACTGCCCGGCTCCGAGGGCGGCTCCTGCCCGCCGAGGCCGTTGGCTTTGGCCAGAGGCTCCTTCTTGCCGTCCGCCCGCTCCGACGGCTTCCGCTCCATCTTCTCCGAGCCGCGGCCGTCGCCCTCCCCGCGGGTCTTGGCGTCGGGCTCGGCCTTGGGGTGCTCGCGGTGGGCGGCGTTGCAGTGGTGGTGGTGGTGGTGGTGTTTGCTGGGGGGGATGTTCTCCGAGTCTGGCTTCTCGTGCCTGGGGGTGCCGAGACACCACAGGGGGGTCAGCAAGGCCTGGCAGTGCCCCGGGGGTGGCTGGCGATGCCCTGTCCCTCCCCGAGCCTGAACCGTTTCTCTAGCTCTCTTCTCCAGAGTGTTTCTTACACCCCAAAATGTCCCCAGGCATGGAGGGCATCGTGTCCCCAGGAGGGCCAGGCAGTGTGGTGGGCACTGACCTGGGTTGAGGAGTAGCTGGCGATGTCTTGTCCGTCCCTGAGCCTTTTGGGGTCACCACTCCCCCAGCTCCCTTCTCCAGAGTGTTTCTTACACCCCAAAATGTCCCCAGGCATGGAGGGCATTGTGTCCCCAGGAGGGCCAGGCAGTGAGGTGGCACTGGGCAAGGACAGCACCGTGTCCCCAGGAGGGCTGGGCCGGGCTGTGGCACTGGGCAAGGACAGCAGTGTGTCCCCAGGAGGGCCAGGCAGTGACACTGGGCAAGGACAGCACCGTGTCCCCAGGAGGGCAGGGCCGGGCTGTGGCACTGGCAAGGACAGCACCGTGTCCCCAGCAGGGCAGGGCAGTGACACTGGGCAAGGACAGCAGTGTGTCCCCAGGAGGGCCGGGCAGTGTGGTGACACTGGGCAAGGACAGCAGTGTGTCCCCAGGAGGGCTGGGCCGAGCTGTGGCACTGGGCAAGGACAGCAGTGTGCCCCCAGGAGGGCCTGGCCGGGCTGTGGCACTGGATAAGGACAGCACCGTGTCCCCAGGAGGGCAGGGCAGTGGCACTGGGCAAGGACAGCACCGTGTCCCCAAGAGGGCCAGGCAGTGACACAGGGCAAGGACAGCACCGTGTCCCCAGGAGGGCCAGGCAGTGCGGTGGCACTGGGCAAGGACAGCAATGTGTCCCCAGGAGGGCAGGGCAGTGACACTGGGCAAGGACAGCAGTGTGTCCCCAGGAGGACAGTGTGGTGGCACTGGCAAGGACAGCACCGTGTCCCCAGGAGGGCAGGGTAGTGGCACTGGGCAAGGACAGCACCGTGTCCCCAGGAGGGCAGGGCAGTGGCACTGGGCAAGGACAGCAGTGTGTCCCCAGGAGGGCCAGGCTGGGCTGTGGCACTGGGCAAGGACAGCAGTGTGTCCCCAGGAGGGCCGGGCAGTGAGGTGGCACTGGGCAAGGACAGCAGTGTGTCCCCAGGAGGGCCAGGCAGTGACACTGGGCAAGGACAGCACCGTGTCCCCAGGAGGGCAGGGCAGTGACACTGGGCAAGGACAGCAGTGTGTCCCCAGGAGGACAGTGTGGTGGCACTGGCAAGGACAGCACCGTGTCCCCAGGAGGGCAGGGCTGTGGCACTGGACAAGGACAGCACCGTGTCCCCAGGAGGGCCGGGCCGAGCTGTGGCGCTCACCTCTGGCTCGGCGGGATCTGCACGCGGGCGGCCTCGCCCATGGCCTGGATCCAGGACTCCTGCTCCTCCGTGTTCTCGGCGCTGAAGAAGTAGGTGCGGATGCCGGCGTGCTCGGCCTGGGGAGACAGGGACTGCCCGTTACCCGCCGGCAGCTCCTCCACCCAGCACACCGTCACCTGTGGGGGCACAGAACGGGGAGGGAGACACAGACAGGGGGTGAGCGCTCCGCTTCCAGCCTGGCACCGCATCCCGCTGCCCCAGGGGCTGCCAGCAGCGCTCCTTCCCCTCCGTGTGCGGGGGAAAGCTCTGCAGGCCCCTCATGGCAGGGTTTTATCCCCCTTGGAGTCACTCCCAGGGGTTTTTTGGGTCCAGCCCCCACCCTGAGAGGAGCAGCAGCCCAATATTGGGGTGGCAAAGGGGCCCGGCGAGAGCGGCAGCACCGGAGCAGCATCGTCCATGCAGGGGGAGGGGGAAGGTGGTTTCTCAGCCCAGGAAATATTTTGGGAAGAAAAGGTTCAGTTTTGATCCAAGATGTTGGTGCGTGTTCTCCGCCCAGAATGTGCTGGAAGGAGCCTTTATTTGAGGGTTTTTTTGAAGCTTCCACCTTCCCCCTGTGGAAAGGGATGGGGGAAAGAGAGGAGGAAGAGAAGGGAGGAAGAAGAGTTCTCCTCCTGAAAGAATTTCAATGGTTCAATCTCTTAAAAAAAAAAAAAAATTAACTAAAACAGAAAAACGAGGTTTGATTAAACCCCTCCCTTGAGTTTCCATCCTCCCCAGAGCATGCAGACACCGTGCCCAGCTGGGGCCACCTCCTGAGCCCCCCCATGCACTTCTGGAAGCTCTGCAGGCAGAGGAAGAGGGGAAATGGAAGGATCCATCCCTGGAATTAGCGGGAGCAGGGAGCAGAGCGAGCCCGGGTGTCCCTCAGCCTCTGCATGCACCAGGAACACGAGAAGGTGGAACACTACCTAGGTGGTGCTGGCTGGGTGCTGGCGTGGTGGTGGCACCAAGAAACCCCTCCTGTCCTGGCATCCTCGCCCGCCGAGGGAGGAGGAGGAGGAGGAAACACAGACACGGGGTCAGTGGGTGTGGGGTGGGAACCCCTCTGCCCTTCCCTGGACAAAATTGTTCTCCCAAACCCAGGAGCTGCAGAGCTCGGGGTGTGGGCAGCAGCTTTGAGAGGGTTTCCCTCATCAGTGTCAGGAAACAGGGATTTCACAGAATCATGGATTTACCCTTCCCAGCTCCCTCAGGACTCTCCAAACCCTTCCCAGCTCCCTCAGGACTCTCCAGACCCTTCCCTGGACACCCCCAGGTCACAGAAGGTGACACCAGCGTGGGCACAGGCACAGGGCAGTCCCCATGCCATCCCTCCCCTCTAAACCCCGCCCAGCTGAGCCTAAATTCAGGTTTAAGGTGGGGCAGCTCCACAAATCCCTCCCTTAGACTGGGAAAACTCGGGAGTGCCCTGTGGGGAGCCCGGCCCCGGCTCTGGACACGGGGAGGGCACACTGGGGTCAGCAAGGCAGTGTCACAGTGACCCCTGACCGCGAGCAGCTGGGCTGGGGACGGTGCCCGGTGATGCCAAAGGTGCCCAGCGGTGCCAAAAAGCGCCAGGGAAGCTCAGAGCCTGCCAGGGACGGACGTGGGGGAGCAGCAGCCGCCGTCACCTCTCCCTGCTCCCCTCTCCAGCCGCACAGCGGGCGCTGGTGGCAGCTCCCCCTGCCCGGTGACACTTGCCAGGCAAGCGGCTCAAACGGGGCTGGAACTGGGGACAGCTCCGAGCCCGGCTCCGCTGGGGACAGCGGCCGTGGAGAGGGGAAAGCAGGGCAGGGAGAGGGGCGGCAGCACCCAGCAGGGCCCTGCAGAGGGGGTGGGGACCTTGGGGACACTGCTGTGTCGCAGATCCAACCCACGGCGGTCACCGCAGCGCGCTCCATGCCCCGTCACCAGGAAAGCCACAAGAGCAGCGGGGACCCTGCCAGCATCACCAGTGCCACCCCAGTGCCACGCCAGTGCCACGCTGTCCCCTGCGAGCCCCGGCAGGGACACTGACCTTGAACGTGTGCTTCCTGCTGATGTTGTCCGAGGGCTGCACGGCGGCCACGCGGAAGCTGAGCAGGGGGATGCTGCCCAGGATGTTCTCCTCCTTCTCGTCTGGGGGGGGTGAATCCTGGGGTTACACCCACGGAGGGACCCCCGGCACAGCCCCCCGCCACGCCCCGGCTCCGTCCCACCTGTGGGATCGGCTCCCCGCCTGTTGCTGCTCCCGCAGCTGTGCCAGGCTCACAAACAACCTCCTCAATTATTGATGCGAGCCCGGGAGCTGCCAGGGAGGCGGGGAAACCTCGGGATTAACCCCTGGGCGCGGCAAACACCGCGAAAAACAGGGCGGAGAGCCGAAAGAGCCGGGGACTTTGTGCCGGTGGCCCTGGGGCACGCTGGAGGTGGCCACGGGCTCGGGGGTGGCCGTACCTTTGTAGTAGAAGAGGCAGCGATCCACCAGCACGAACCAGCGCTTGTTCCACTGCTTCACCCCCGAGCTGGCCTGCGGGAGAGGGGCGCTCAGAGCCTGCCGGGGGCTCCCGGGGCTCTGCGGGGCCGGGAGGGGTGGCACGGGGGGGTACCTGCTTGTAGAGCCACCCGCTCTTGGTGACGGCGGCGTTGGGGTTCCTCTTCATGGAGTTGGAGCGCTTCCCGAAGGCGATGCCCTTGCGGGATGAGCGCGGAGCCTGCGCGGAGCGAGAGGAGATGCTCAGTGCCCGGGCTGGGCTCTCTGAGTCCCTGTCCGGGCTGGTGACAGCCGTGTCACACCGCCCCGGGCACTCACCCGGCCTCCGGGGCGCTCCGGGGGCACCTCGGCCACCATGGCGTGGTTGGGGGGCTCGCTGGGGACGGTGGCCGGCCGCTTGCCGCCCGCCTTGCTGGACATGTCCGAGCTGTGTCTGTGACACGGGAGAGGGGAATCAGCGGGTCTGTGCTCCTGCACCCCGCTGGGGTCATCCCCCAGCGTTCCCACCCCAGCCCAGCTCCCCCAGCGTTCCCAGCCCTCCCTGGCTCCCCCAGCCCAGCCCAGCCCAGCTCCCCAGGCGTTCCCACCCCAGCCCAGCTCCCCCAGCATTCCCAGCTCAGCCCATCCTGGCTCCCCCAGCGTTCCCAGCCCTCCCCGGCTCCCCCAGCCCAAGGGGATTGGGAGCAGACCTACTTTGGCAAGTCAAGCCTTGAGGTGTCCTCGGGGACCTGTCCCGTCACTGGGTGCAGGAAGGTGTTCCGCCTTTCATTGTGGCTGTGGGGACAGCCATGGGGTGGGTGTTAGGAGTCCCCATGTCCCCCCCACGAAGTCCCCGTGTCCCTCACGTTGTCCCTGTGTCCCTTTGGTGCCACGTTTGCTGCTCTGTTGGTTCCACGCCAACACCGGGGTTGGCACTGGGGCTGGCATCCCTGCCCTGCCCCGAGCACGCTGCTAATCCCAGACTTGGGATCCTTCACGGCATCATGGAATCATTTAGGTCAGAAAGGCATCCGGGATCACCAAGCCCAGCCGTTAACCCAGCACCAAAGGTGTCCCCAAGTGCCACATCCACTGCATGGGACACCCCCAGGCGTGGCGAGCGGAGCCCGAGCCCCCCTGGGTGCCCCTCCTGCCAGGGAGAGCCAGAGGGTCCCCCCTGAGCCTCCTTTTCTCCAGGCTGAGCCCCTTCCCAGCTCCCTCGGCCACTCCAGCCCTTCCCTGGGATGGATTTCATTCAAGTGCCAAAATCAGGGCTGTGGTGGCCCAGCCGCCCCCCCTGCTGCTGTCACACCCCGGCTGTCACACTGGCCACACTCACATGGCGCTGCAGCAGCAGCCATGGCCCATCCAGGGCTGTGCCCGCAGCAATGTCCCCAATGTCACCTCCTCCCCTGGCTGCTCACGGAGCCATTTCCAGAGCACCTCGAAGCTTTGAGTGGCGTCACCTGGGCACGGGGGCTGGGCCCCAAACACCACCCCAGGGCCCCTCAGACCCCAAAACCATCCCAGAACCCCTCAGACCCCAAACATCACCCCAGGACCTCTCAGACCCCAAACACCACCCCAGTATTCTTCAGACCCCAAAAACCACCCCAGAACCCCTCAGACCCCAAAAACCACCCCAGGACCCCTCAGACCCCAAACACCAGTGCTGTCCCAGCCGGCTGTCACACTGGCCACACTCACATGGCGCTGCAGCAGCAGCCATGGCCCATCCAGGGCTGTGCCCGCAGCAATGTCCCCAATGTCACCTCCTCCCCTGGCTGCTCACGGAGCCATTTCCAGAGCACCTCGAAGCTTTGAGTGGCGTCACCTGGGCACGGGGGCTGGGCCCCAAACACCACCCCAGGGCCCCTCAGACCCCAAAACCATCCCAGAACCCCTCAGACCCCAAACATCACCCCAGGACCTCTCAGACCCCAAACACCACCCCAGTATTCTTCAGACCCCAAAAACCACCCCAGAACCCCTCAGACCCCAAAAACCACCCCAGGACCCCTCAGACCCCAAACACCAGGCTGTCCCAGGCTCAGCTGGCACCTTGTGCCACGTCCCTGCCCCGTCCCATGGAGGTGGCACTGCCAGACACCCCAGACCCCCCTCCCACGCCGCTTCCCGGGGTGCCCAGGGGGAAAGGGCGAGGATCAGAGCTCCATGCCAGGAATTTCACACCGGCTCCCATCCCCTCCTTCCCAAACCCGCCGGGCACCGGGACACGGAGCCACCCCGGTGCCAGCAGCCCCAGCATGCCACCAATTCCTCCTGCCAGTCAGCAAAATGGGGGAAGTTTGAGCAAAAAAAAATGCCGCTGCCAAGACCATGCCATGTGATGCCAGGCTCTGGAGCCATTCACCACTGACACCCCAAAAAGTGCTGCTCCTGCCGAGCTGCCGCCCCCTGCCAGGCTCCAGCAGTGCTCGGGGGCACCTTAAAAACCCGGGGAACGAGCGCTCACCCCACAATTCAGGGGGTTCGCTGTCCAGACCCCCCCAGTGCCGGCGTGGTCTGACCAGAGCCGCCCTCAGTGCCCGGCCCGCGCTCCAGCACAGCCGGGGCGGCTCTGCCACAGGGCTGGAGCTGCTCCCGGAGCGGTTTTTGCCTCCGGGGGGATTCAAATCCCGGGAATTGGGGCAGGTGCCGTCCCCGCAGTGACGCTGCCGCGCGGGGAGGGTGCAGTGCTGAGAGAGCAGCACCCCGAAAGCGCCAGGCGTGGGAAGTGGGCGCTGCCAGCACCCACCAGCTCGTCTGGACCCACGCCGGGGGTGCCCCCATCCCTGCCCACCTCCCTGAACCCCACGCTGGGTGTCCCCCCCCCCACCATCCCTGCAGGTCCCTGAACTCTCCCTGCGGGCAGGACACTCCCATTTCGCAGCCCCCTCGGCTCCTCCTGGCACCCACCGCGCTGCCTCCCCCCACCCCAAACCTGCCCGCGCCCCCAGCCCCCGGGGGGAGCCGAAAGCTGCGGAAAGCAGCGCCCGGCAGCCGCTGCCGGGGCTGACCCCGCTCCGGAGCCTCGCCAGTGCCCATCGCCTCCCAGCACTGCAATGCAGCAGCCACTGCCCGGATCCACTGCCCGGCCCGGGGGTCCCGCCCCGCCGGCTCCCCGCGGGTCCCCCCGGGCCCCCCCAGACCCCTGCGGGCTCCTACCTCACCCTCCGGTCCGCCCGGAACTTCAGCATGGTCCCGGGGGCCCGCCCGGCTCAGCGCCCGCTCCCGGCTCCCGGCATGGCACCGCTCCGGTGCCCGCTGCCACCACCGCGCTGCCGGGGCACGGCGGGGCCACCGGGGCTGCCCCGCGGGGCCGGGGGACGCGGGCGGTGGGCGAGGGCTGTGCCCGTGCTCTGCCAGCCGTGCCAGTCCCCCGCGCCGGTGGCATTGGCGGTGCCGCTAGCGGCGGCGGCGGAGCTCGGGGGGCTCCGGGAGGCTCCGGGGGGCTCCGGTGGCGGCGGGGTTGGGCAGCCCCGGTGTGCGGCAGCCGGCGGGGAAGGCGACAGCGGGGACAAACAGCTCCCGCTCGCGTCCCCGCAGAGGAGAGGCGAAGGGCAGCGCGGCACAGCCGCCTCCCCCAGCCCAGGTGCGGAGCCGGGGAGCTGCTGGTGGCAGGGGAAGGGCGACACGGGCAGCTCGGGGGGGCTCAGGGGGGCTCAGAAGGGCTGGTGAGGGGCTCCCGGGTCCCCCCAGCCCGGCAGGGCAGCGGGAAGGGCGGGTGTCACAGCGAGGGAAGCAGCCGCGCTGAGCCGAGCTCTGTCGCTGCCCTGGATTCAGTGGCTGCGTCCCTTCCCCCTGCTTGTGTCCCCAAAGCATCCTCGGGTGTCCCCAAAGCATCCCCGGGTGTGTCACCCTCCTCCTCGCGGCTGTTCCTTCCCCAGGGGACACCGGGAGGAAATCTCGGGGACCAGGATGGGGACAAGCACTAAACGGGGGGGGCAGACCCCGCAGGGCATCAGCACCCCCAAAAAAACCCCGGGGAGCCCTTGGGAACGGGCAGGAGCGGGATTTGGGGTGAGCCACGCTCCGCCTGGACTTTGGGAAGAGAATGCAAAGCCCTGAGGGCGGGCAGGAGAATCCTTGGGCAGGAGGGAGGGAGGGAAGGGCTGGCACGGCCAGGAAAGCTCCAAAGAAGGAAGCGCAGCACGGGGAGGCGGCTGGGCTCCCTCCCGCCACGGCCCTGCTCCCGAAAATCCCGGGAGCACCGTGGGACACTGTCCAGCACCGCGTCTTCCTCCCAAAAATGCGAATTGTGCCCCTCTGGGGTGAGCTCAGTGCCAGGGAGCAGCCCAGGGGTGGCACCAGTGGTCCCAGCCCATCCCAGAACGTGCCAACGCTGCGGCAGCCACGGAACTGAATCCAAACTGAACTAAACACAAAATAAATGAAACACAAACTGAGCTAAACACAAACTAAATTAAACACAAACTAAATGAAACACAAACGGAGCTAGACACAAACTGAGCTAAACACAAACAAAACCAAATCCAGACTGAGCTAAATCCAAACTGAACTAAATCCAAACTGAACCAAATCCAGATCCAAACGGAACCAAATCCAAACCTAAACAAATACAAACTGAACCAAATCGAAACTCAAACCAAATCCAAACCGAACCAAATCTGAACCAAACCAAATCCAAACTAATCTGAACCCAAATTAAACCAAACCCAAACTGAACCCAAACCGAACCAAATTCAGACTGAACCAAATCCAAACTGAACCGAACCCAAACCGAGCCCAAACTGAACCAAATCCAGACCAAAACAAATCCAAACCAAGCCAAACCCAAACCCACCAAATCCACCTTTTTAAGGCACTGGGCACCACACCGCCCACGGGCAGCACTGCCTCATGCCAGGGTCTGAACCAGTGCCTGTCCCCCCTGTCCCCCCTGTCCCCATCTCAGTGGCTCACCCACTCCTCCATCGTCACCAGCCAAGGATCCGGGGACAAGGTCCCCCAACGGCTGCGGGCCGTGCCACCCTCCTTGGTGACACTGCCGGGGCTCTCCCGGTGGCGCTGCCACCACGGCGGGATGGGACGTGCCAGGGGAGGCTGTGGGGACACTTTCGGGGACAGCAATCTGGGGACAGTGTGGCAGGAGCAGGGAGGGCTCCGTGTTGGGGTGTCACCCTCTGCCACCCCAGCTCGGTGTCACAGGGGCTGTGCCAGGCTCGGGGGCTTTGAGCCGGGTGCAGGCTGGGTTTGCCAGCCCGGAGCTGGCACCGCGGTCCTGGCACCGGCTGGGCTCTGTCACAGTCAGCGGTGCCTGGGGCTGGGCAGGGACACGGCACAGCCATGGCTGGCCCATGATCCGTGCCCGAGCGTGGGCACGCTCCGGGGGTGCCAACAGCTCCCCCCGACCTCCCGGGGCAGCTGAGGGGGAAACGTCGCTGCTTCCCCTCGGGATGAGCATCAGAGGAACCCTGGAACCTCCTGGAGCTTTCCCAGAGGGACACGGAGCAGGAGCAGGGGATGAATGCCATAACTGAGGAATAAAACTTCCAACGCTGCTGTTTGTCCCCAGAGCTGGAGTCTGCTGGGAGCAGAGTGACAATCCCCTGTCCCCTCCCTCAGCCCAGCGGGGCTGTGGCTTTCCAGCTCTTCAATACACAAGCCATGGCTAGGGCAGGTTCCCAAAGACCCCCAGAGCCACTGTCACACTGTGAGTGCCACCTCCTGTCCCCAAAGCCCCCCAGAGCCACTGTCACACTGTGAGTGCCTCCTCCTGTCCCCAAAGACCCCCAGAGCCACTGTCGCACGGTGAGTGCCACCTCCTGTCCCCAAAGCCCCCCAGAGCCACTGTCACACTGTGAGTGCCTCCTCCTGTCCCCAAAGACCCCCAGAGCCACTGTCGCACGGTGAGTGCCACCTCCTGTCCCCAAAGCCCCCCAGAGCCACTGTCACACTGTGAGTGCCTCCTCCTGTCCCCAAAGACCCCCAGAGCCACTGTCGCACGGTGAGTGCCACCTCCTGTCCCCAAAGCCCCCCAGAGCCACTGTCACACTGTGAGTGCCACCCCTGGCTTGGGGAGGGCAGGGATGGAGGGGTCCCCACGCTGGGATGGGGGTGGGACCGGACAGGGGGGTGAAGGCAGCCAAAATCCCCCCTCAGTGGCCATAAAACCCCTTCACCCAAAGGTCCCTTCCCTTCCCTTCCCTTCCCTTCCCTTCCCTTCCCTTCCCTTCCCTTCCCCTTCCGTGTTTTTCCAACCTTTTCTTCACCTCTCCTCCCTCTCATCCCTCAGAATTCCCGTTCTGTTCTCCCCAGGAACTGCAGTGCTCAGCACCCAGGGGAGGCCACTCGGGGTCACCCTGTCCCCCACGGTCTCCATGAGGGACAATCCACCCTTGGGGCAGCAGGGACAAAGTGCTGAGCCCCGCTTTGCAGAGGAGACCAGGGTGGGGAAAAATGGATTGTAAGGCACAAAAAACCCCAGAGGGCAAAAAAAATCAGGGAAAAACCAGATTATAAGGCACAAAAACCAGGGAGAAAACTGATTATAAGGCACAAAAACCCAGGGATTCTCGGCACGCTGGGTCCATCCTGCAGGGACCACAGGGATTGAAAAAAGAAATGGAATTAAATTTTCCATCTCCGCACGGGCTCATCCCAGCTCCTGCCCTGGCCAGCGAGACCTCGACCTGCTGGAGTTGTAGGAATGCCACGGCAGCCCTGGGAGAGGGCGGGAAAGGTGACAGCAGCAGCCATGGCCCCTCCAGGGCTGTGCCCGCAGCGATGTCCCCAGTGTCACCTCCTGTCCTGGCTGCCCTCGGAGCCATTTCCAAAGCACCTCCAGGCTTTGAGTGGGGTCACCTGGGCATGGGGGCTGGGAACCCCCGGACCCCAAACACCATCCCAGGAACTCCCGGACCCTAAACACCATTGCATGGCCACCCAGACCCCAAATGCCAGCCCAGGACCTCCCAGACCCCAGAAAACCAGCCCAGGGCTACCTAGACCCAAACACCATCCCAGGTCACCCCAGCCCAGGACCTCCCGGGTCTGCAAAACCACCCCATGGCCACCCAGACCCAGAAACCAGGGCTACCTAGACCTTGAAAACCATACCAGGGCTACCTAGACCCCAAAAACCAGCCCATGGCCACCCAGACCCAGAAATCAGGGCTACCTAGACCCCAAAAACCATCCTATGGCCACCCAGGCCACAAAAACCATCCCAGGGCCCCCCAGACCCCAGAAACCAGGGCCACCTAGACCCAAACACCATCCCAGGTCACCCCAGCCCAGGACCTCCCAGGTCTGCAAAACCACCCCATGGCCACCCAGACCCAGAAACCAGGGCTACCTAGACCTTGAAAACCATCCCAGGGCTACCTAGACCCCAAAAACCAGCCCAGGGCTACCTAGACCCCAAAAACCATCCCAGGGCTTCCTAGACCCCAAAAACCATCCTATGGCCACCCAGACCCCAAAAACCATCCCAGGGCCACCCAGACCCAGAAACCAGGGCTACCTAGACCCCAAAAACCATCCCAGGGCTTTCCTAGACCCCAAAAACCATCCCATGGCCACCCAGACCCCAAAAACCATCCCAGGGCCACCCAGACCCCAGAAACCAGGGCCACCTAGACCCAACACCATCCCATGGCCACCCAGGCCACAAAAACCATCCCAGGGCCACCCTCTCCTGCAGGCCACGCTGGCCACCGGCTCCCCCTCGTGCCGTGGCTCCCGCGGGAGCGGCGCAGGGAGGGAAGCGGAGGCCGAGGCCGAGCTGGGTGCCCTGGGAAGCGGCCGGGCCGCGGTGCCAGCCTCGCCAAGCCGGGCAAAGTCCTCGGGAAGGGCGGCCGGCAGCTCCCGCGCACCCGCGGGCCGTGCGCGACATCAGCAGCGTCACTCGGGGACATCCCGGGGTTGGGGGGCTCGGGGAGGGACAGCGGGGGAAGCTCCCGGGGGACGGAGGGGGGAAGGCCGGGGATTTCCAGAGAACAAAGCGGCTGCTGGCAGCCAGCGCGGCCGGCGGCGGCGGGGAGGGCGAGTCCCCCGCTGCCGCGCCAGCTGGGGTCGGGGAGAAGCACAAAAAGCACAAAAAAAGCACCGGGAGTTTGTGTTTTATCTCCCTGGAAACCCCGGCTCCAGCCCAGGCACGGCCCACGGGGCTGCCGGCCAAAAAGCGCCGCCGCTGCTGCCGGGGGTCTGGAGCAGCGTCCTGAGCACATGGGGGACATCTGGGGAGGGTGACAGCCCTGGATCAGGGCAGAGAGGGTGACAGTCCGTGCCCTGGCAGCTCTGATGTCACTCCATTGTCCTCTGGTGGGGACAGAGCCCCAGTTCCTTGGGCATGGGATCACTGGGATTGCAGAGCCACCATTCCCACATGGAGCCACCATTCCCACATGGAGCCACCATCCCCACCCAGTGCCACCATTCCCACCCAGTGCCACCATTGCCACCACAACCTCCAGGCCGCCACCTGGAGGGTTCAAACTCTCCCTGAGCTCTTTAGGAAGCCGCTTCCACTGCCGGGAATTCCTGTCCCGAGCAATCCCCGGCATCAAACGAGCTTGGCCTCGACCCCTCCCCGGCCGGGTCAGCTCAGGGGATTGCGGCAGCGGCGCTGGGAAAATCCTGCAGGGACAAATCCCCAGCACCTGCCCGAGCCGTGGGCTCCACAATCACAGCCAGGTGGGACGGGGCCGTGCCTGGCGCGCTGCTCCTGCCAGCTCTGCTTGTCACCACCCTCGGGCCACCCGCTGCTCGCCGTGCCGCTGGCCGCAGACAATGGCCCACGAGTGCCATGGCCCGGCTCCGTGTGACACGACGGGGGTCCGTGTGACACGGCCAGGCTCCGTGTGACACGACGGGGGTCTGTGTGACACAACCAGGCTCCGTGTGACACGACGGGGGTCCGTGTGACACAGCCAGGGTCCGCGTGACACGACGGGGGTCCGTGTGACACGTCCAGGCTCCGTGTGACACGACGGGGGTCTGTGTGACACGGCCAGGCTCCGTGTGACACAGCCAGGCTCCGTGTGACACGGCCGGGGTCCGTGTGACAGGCCAGGCTCTGTGACACGGCTGCACACACACGGACACACGCGCTCACACTCACCGGTGCCACCGCGCGTCCCCTCCGCCTGCCGAGCCGCTGGCTCTCCCGCAGCCGGCCGGGGCGGATGATTTCCCTTCCAAGCCCATGGAGACCGTCATTGGTATCAATCATTAACAGCCGCCGCAGCTGCCGCCAGCTTTAACCCCCTCGGCTCCGGGCGGAGCGCCGGGAGCCACCCCCTGCTCCCGCTGGAAGCGCCTTCAGCGGCACCGTGACACGGCAAAGGCACCGCAGGACAACTGGCCCGGCAGGGAAAAGTGTTTGCAAGGGGCTCCGCACCTCCACGGACCCCCTCCCTTGTCCCCTGTCCCCGGGACAGGAGCGCTGGGAGCAGCCGCGCGTGTCCCCGAGCTGCCCGAATTGCCACATCCCGGCGGGAGCTGCTGGAACCGCCGCTGTCCCCACGCTCAGGCTGGTCCGGGGGGCAGGGGCTGATCCCGAGGGGCAGGGGCTGATCCCGAGGGGCAGGGGCTGCTCCCCGCACTCCGGGACCGCAGCTCGGGGCTGCTCCCCGCACCCCAAGGCTGCTCCCCGCACCCCGGGACCGCAGCTCGGGGCTCTCGGAGCTCCCTCTCCCTTTCCCCGCAGCTTTTCCAAGGATCATCAATGGCTGTAACTTTACCCCGGCGTGTTTACAACCCAGCTGCGGCTCTTGGCTCCCTCAGCCGTGCCGGGGGCCAGCTCGGCTCCCGCTCAGCCGCCACACGGCGCTGTCACAGCGTCCCTGTCCCCCCCCCGCCCCCCGCACGCTGCGGTCCCCACGGGACCACCGGGATCAGCACCTGGGTCCCCACGGAGAGGGGCTGGAGGAGGAGGAGGAGGAGGAGCACAGCGCCGTCCCCGTGCCGGAGCCCTGCGGAGCGGGTGGACAGATGTCCCTGTCACCTCCCCCCGCCCCCGCCGCGTTACCCAACCTGCCGAGGGGTTGAATGATTAACCTCGGGCTGCCGGCTCCTTGCAGTGTCCCTGCACAGCCCCGCGGCGCGGTGGCACCTGGGGACCCTGCGCTTCTGCCGCCAGCTCCCAGGAGCATCCCACGCCAGGCCCCCTCAGCTTGTCCCCACCAGCACACAGAGGGTCTCCACCCTGTCCCTCACCCCTGTCCCCCCTCCCTGGAGCACTCACAGCACCGGCACCGCCTTCCCGGCCGGACCACCGCGGGAATTTCGCCCTTGTCCAGCCGCAGCTGCGGCGCCGGGGGCGTCGGGGCTGGAATGATCACAAACAGCCTTGGACAAACATCTGCACGGCACCACCCCCGGGCTGCAGCCGGGGCGGCCAAGGGCTGCTTTCAATCACGGTCAAATCCCACCAAACGGCCACAAAAGCGCCCGGGGCAGCGAGGCAGGCGCGGCAGCTGATAAGGCCCTGCAGATGTGGGGCTCGGTTTGGCTCCCCGAGTCCATGAGAAGCCGTGGAACGGGAACAGCTTTGGGAATTCCCACTCCCCACACCCACCCGGGATATAAAGCCACAAGCTCCTTGTGAGCACCCCAAATTGCGAGCGCTCAGGGGGTGCACGGGGTGAAGTGAAGCATCCCCCTGCTCCCAGCAGTGATTCCTGAGGCTCTGCAAATCCAGCAGCTGCAATTCCCTCTCTGGCCCACCGGGATGGGCCCCCCCCTCGGCTCCATCAGTCTGTGCCACTCCCTGTGGAGCCTCTTGATGCTTTTTGGATAAATCCCCCAATTTTCCACTCCAGGATCTCCCGCGCTCAGAAAAAAAAAACAACAAAGCCACAAACGCGGCACCTCAGGATCACGAGACAGCGGCGACGTGGAAGCTGCCACCACGGGATCCCATTTCCCGGCGCTGTTTGGAGCCTCTGGATGGGGGTTTGGGCAGCGCTGGCTCTGCCCCAGGCCGGGAGCTGCAGCGCTGCCAGGCTCCGCTGATTCATCCCAACCCCGCGCCCCGACCTCCCGCAGTCAAGCCCCGACACATTCGGCACATTCCTGGCATAGCCGGCACCCGGAGCCCCACACCTGCCGGAGCGGGAGGCTGGGAAGGTGCCAGCGGCACCATGCAGGCCCTGCCAGGAGATTTATGGATCCCAGGCACGGTCCCAAGGCCGGGAGTGTTCCGGTGACACAGCAAACTTGTCACCTCGCCGAGCGTCCCGGTTGTTTTGCTGGTGCGGTGCCACACGTCCCTTGCGTCGGGCTGGGTGTGAATGGGGAAATTCTCCTTTTTTAGATCTGATCCCACACCTTGGCGGGCCTGGGAACAGCCTGTCACCGGCGGTGACACAACCGTGCCGGTTGTGCAAGGGCTTTGCACCAAACGGCTCCCAAGGACGGGATAGCGCCGGCTCCGGGTGGCTCCAGTGGCTCTCCGGCCCCAAACCCATCTGGGGCACATCCCACGGCCCTGGGAGCAGCCCGGGATCGCGGCGTGGGTGCCAGGAAATGTGTGGAGCGGCCAAAAGCATTCCTGAGTGCCTGGGAAGAGCCACTGTGGAGCCAAGGCTGGCACACGTGGATGGCACGGCAGCTCCAGCCCCTCCAAAAACCGGGCACGTGCCAACCTCACCAACCTCCGTGTACAAAAGAACCAAAAGTCCCCCAAATCGGGATTGTCCTAAGAAAAATGGTCTAAAAAACACTCGGGGCTCCCCAAATCCCAGGGTCAGGCTCAGGATTTGCAGCCTTTGCCAGGATTTCCTCTGGAAATTCCCTTGGGACGTCCCCGGGGGGAACCGCAGCCTTTCCCTCGCTGTCCTCGGATGTGACAGCGCTGATTTAGTGTCACCTTCAGCCCACCACACCCTGGTGTGCCCGGGAACTGCTTCCCGGTGAATCACAGCTCATTCCCAGCTTCCCAACCGCGTCCTCATTAGCGCCCCAAGCCCCGGGGAGCAGCTGCGGGGGAAAAGCCAGGAATCTGCTGGGGGGAAAAACAGAGAGAGCCAAAAACCAAACCCTGGGAGCCTCCCAGGCGGCGCGGGGACAGGGACACACCTCTGTGTCACCAAACAGCCCTGGCCGTGTCGCTTGTCCCCCTCCCAGCGCCACCTCCGCAGCGCCACGGGCGGGCGAGTGAATTTCGGTCACCGTGGGATGCTTCCAGTCGGAAATCGGGACGGTTCCAGCGGCAGAGCGCCGCTTCCCAAAAATCCCATCCGTGCCGGTTCCACCTTCCTTCTCCCACACAAATAAGCGCGGCCCCGGCCCTTCCTCCGCCCCGCGGGGAGGAGCGGCCGGGGAGCGGAGCTGGAAGGACGGGATGGCTGAGCCGGGCTGGAGCCGGGCTGGAGCCGGGCCAGCCCCGCCTGGGGACAGCCCTCGGAGGGGCCTTCGGCAGCGGGGGAGCAGCTCGGGATGAGCCCCTGGCGATGGAGAGGATTCCCCCTTGGAATGCTCACAGGGTCTCTGCGAAAATGTCACAGGATCCCTCTGAAAATGTCACAAGGTCCCTGCCTTGGGATGACCACAGGATCACTCCAAAAGTGTCACAGGATCCCTCCAAAAGTGTCACAGGATCCCACCAAAAAAGTCACGGGACCCCCACCTTGGAATGCCCACAGGATCCCTCCCAAAAGTGCCGCAGGATTTCTCCAAGGGTGTCACAGGATCCCTCAAAAAAATATCCCAGGGCTCTTCTAAAACTGTCACAGGGTCCCACCAAGGGTTTCACAGGATCCCCTCTTGGAATGCCCACGGGATTCCCTCTTGGGATGCTCCCTGAACACTGAATCCCTCCAAAAATGTCACAGGATCCCTCCAAGGGTCCTCACGGGCTGGGACTGAGGGGCTGCCCGAGGAGCTGGGATGGGTTTGCTCAGCCCTGGAAAGAGCCCGAGGCCGTCCCGCATTCCTGGAGGGCACAACCGAGATAAAAACATGGGAAAGGAGGGATTTCTCCAAGGGTGTCACAGGATCCCTCAAAAAATGTCACAGGGTTCCTCCAAAACTGTCACAGGGTCCCACCAAGGCCCCGGTGCCTTTCCCCCCTCACCTTTTCCTGTCCCAGCAGGACGGGGCGAGCCTGGGGAAGGACGGAGCAGGATGGAGCCGGGACTGAGCTCAGCTCCAAACCCGCCCCCGGCAGTGCTGGAGAGCTCATTCCCGGCTCCCGGGCATCCCAGGGATGGCTGGGAGCCATGGCATGGACACCACAGCCAGCCCATAGCCCACAGCAGGGCAGGAATGATCCACCACAGCCAGCCCACAGCAGGGTAGGAATGATCCACCACAGCCAGCCCAAATCCCACAGCAGGGATGGGTTTGCTCAGCCCTGGAAAGAGCCCGAGGCCGTCCCGCATTCCTGGAGGGCACAACCGAGATAAAAACATGGGAAAGGAGGGAGCTGGGGGATCACAGGTGGATCCAGGGGTGGATCCAGGGGGGACCACAGGTGGATCCAGGGGTGGATCCAGGGGGGATCACAAGTGGATCTAGCTGGGGGATCACAGGTGGATCCAGGGGTAGATCCAGGGGGGATCACAGGTGGATCCAGGGGGGGATCCAGGGGGGATCACAGGTGGATCTAGGGGGGGATCCAGGGGGGATCACAGGTGGATCCAGGGGGGGATCTCAGGTGGATCCAGGTGGATCCAGGGGGGATCACTCCCCAGGTGCCCGTGGCTCCTGTTTCCCGTGGGTTTGGCTCAGGGATGCTGTTCCATGTGACTGGTGTCCCGCAGCCCAGGAGCCCCCGGGAACGGAGGGAATGTGATCCCAAAGCTCACTCCTTGGGGAAGCAGGCAGAGCCATCCGTGCCCTCAGCCTGCCCCGGTGCCTTCCCCCCCTCACCTTTTCCTGTCCCAGCAGGACGGGGCGAGCCTGGGGAAGGACGGAGCAGGATGGAGCCGGGACTGAGCTCAGCTCCAAACCCGCCCCCGGCAGTGCTGGAGAGCTCATTCCCGGCTCCCGGGCATCCCAGGGATGGCTGGGAGCCATGGCATGGACACCACAGCCAGCCCACAGCAGGGTAGGAATGATCCACCACAGCCAGCCCAAATCCCACAGCAGGGCAGGGAAATCCCACCACAGACATCCCAAATTCCACATCCCAAATCCCACAGCAGGACAGAAAAATCCCACATCCCACAGCAGGGCAGGAATGATCAACCACAGCCAGTCCAAATCCCACA